CTTCGCACCGCAACTGCAGTGGCAAACGTTGTTTCCGCGCCAGCACCAATTATTATTATTATCTGTAGCGACTGCCTCATCGCCGTCCTGTGGGATCCCTTTCAACATGATCTATCACCATGAACATGAATCATGTGGAATTCAACAACTTGATCAAAGAATGTATTCAGATGGAGAGCTTGCAGTCGATCAGTGAAAACATGACACGCATTCAGTTATTACCACCCTTCGATTGACACAGCTAAGTATGAAGCCTATGGCTCAGACTGATATAGCTCGATGGACCGGGCGCTAAAAGCGTTGGATGGCCAGGCCTATGACCTAGAATAACATAGCCTGAAGGACCTGGCGCTTTGAGAGGTGAATGGCCTAGACTTTGGCCTGAAATGACATTGACTTGTAGGACTCGCGCGCTCGGGTGACGACCCCCACCACCACAACTCTTGGACTCTTCGAATTAAAGTATAAGATATTTCAATTTTTCTCTCATTTCACATTTTGACTTTCACCATTTCATTCATTCGACGTTCAGTGATTCGACATGGTAATCGATATGTGACTGTCGACATGTGAGTTTTGGACATTGTGACGGGATAAGATTTGCGGCCGTAGTTAACGATTTACATGGAGGGCACATTATCATCCTTAAAATGACCGACTGGCCCGATTCAATGTGCAGGCAAGTTTCCGTCTAGCATGCATTTCTGAGAGGAATAACACTCAATCTTCAGATAATCAGTAACATTTCCGTCACTTTCAGGCGCATTTCAGTATGGCCCCCAAAAAATGAAATATCGGGGAAAATAACGATGAGTGGGGTAGACGACTATATTAAGCAATAGTTCGCTGTATCATGCTTTTGGGTTCCATTCCCAGCATTATATATTCTTCTGGAGACGTTTACCTTGACACTTTTTTGTCCCATTGAAAGACGTACATAAAGAAGAGTGAAATTGGGGAAATAAGTAGGTCTTTGAAAAATTAAATTTCGAAGTGAAGGAAAAACATCAAGGGCACATTTCACATGTAACATGAATCAAGCAGGGGAATCTCTTCTTCCTTCATGTTGCAAACACAAGGCTGTCAATGACCTCAGACAATCAGAAGTAAATTGAAGCCAAAATGAAAAACACTTATGACCAACGGAGTTTTACCGCATTGGTTGACGTGAGAATGAATTTGAAATGCATTATATTTTCGCAGTGTATAGTAGGCTGGAAATTCGTATATTCGAAGCTTAATGGATTTTGAACATTGAAAGCTTAATGGATTTTTCCGAGGAAGACATATGTGGAAGACAGGATGTGACATATCATGATAATATGTGTAAGCTTTACTCTTGGATACAAATAACCAATTTACAATATCTATACTTGCTATACTATGGTCACACCTTCGGCTCTCCATTATCTCGGATATCGATTAATTCATCAATTCATTTTCGAAATGGCAACAACTTATTTTAAGTACATCTCAGTCGAAATATGTACTGTGAGGGGACGTAACCTAGATTTTTTTAAATCGAAATCTTTACTCCGATGATTTCTTGTATGCCAAACTTCGAATCAATGTGCTCCTTCTTGTCAGCAGGAAAAAAAAATCAAGTATCATTTTCAAGTGCAGTCGACTCCGCATAATGGAATACCGCTTAATAGAATACTCCGCTTAATGGAATACCATTGCCCGGTCCCGATTTTTCATCCATAGGACGCATTATAAAAAACATNTGCCTTTTTTTCTGGACCCTGGACCTAGTGCAATTTTCCCGTGTTCGGTATGACGTGACTTCATTGATGGAATAAATAAAAGTACTTGCGGCCTGCGGCCGCTACGCTGGCCGTCTAAGAGGTGGAAATTTGAATCGTCTATTGTGAGCATAACGTCTCCTTAACAATCCTCTGTTCATCGCATTACCCATTCGGAACTGAACCGCTTCATTTCATTTTCTAGGAGATTCTGTTCTTAAACACCATCATCATGATATTCCAGGTGATTGCTTGCCAGAATCGTTCATTGTGAACAGTTTAGCAAGTTTTCATGAGACTCAAGACGACTTTGCTGATTTCGTCTTCCTAGCACATTCAATACTCTTGCATCATCGATTAGCTCATGGGTTATTATCATAGCATTAGCTTATGGTACAGGTACCTCTGCTTCTGAAACAGTACGGGCCATTTCAAAGAACTTGTTCGACTTCAGCACAAAGAGAATTTAGCGCATGTGCAACAGAATACTAACGAATAATTTCTGAAAATGCCTCGCCTCCACATTAGCACCAGTGAACAACAGTGTGAGCGTTAAGTGTGAGTTGCAGCAGACGCACTTTTCCGTTGTGGCAGCATTGTTAAACAAATGTCCCCTCCCTACAGCAAAATGTAAAGCCTGACATAGCTTGCTGCGCAAACGACTGTAGTGATTTGAGATGACATGGAGAGGCCTGACAAAATGTCCCGAGTTCCGTGGTAGCACACCTGACTGGCAAATGAGAGGTCCGGGTTAAATTCCCGGCTGCCCACTGACTTTCGACACCTGAGTGTTGCGTTCCTTGCATCAAGTTGCCCAACAGGCTGCATGGCTTTCCTATTCCTGAGCTCAGCATTCGCTGCCTCTTGGTGTTCGACCTTACGCTCCCTACGTGCAACTGGGTACTGTTCAACAGTCATTCTAGCCATTATGGCTAGCACCTCCTAAAGCATCGATTTAGGCACTTCGCACCGCAACTGCAGTGGCAAACGTTGTTTCCGCGCCAGCACCAATTATTTATTATTATTTGTAGCGACTGCCTCATCGCCGTCCTGTGGGATCCCTTTCAACATGATCTATCACCATGAACATGAATCATGTGGAATTCAACAACTTGATCAAAGTATGTATTCAGATGGAGAGCTTGCAGTCGATCAGTGAAAACATGACACGCATTCAGTTATTACCACCCCTTGATTGACACAGCTAAGTATGAAGCCTATGGCTCAGACTGATATAGCTCGATGGACCGGGCGCTAAAAGCGTTGGATGGCCAGGCCTATGACCTAGAATAACATAGCCTGAAGGACCTGGCGCTTTGAGAGGTGAATGGCCTAGACTTTGGCCTGAAATGACATGTAGGACTGGCGCGCTCGGGTGACGACCCCCACCACCACAACTCTTGGACTCTTCGAATTAAAGTATAAGATGGACTGGAAAGGCGTAGCCTTATAGGCCTGGCGCTTTAGGACGCGGATGGCGTGGCCTATGATCCAGAAGGGGATTGCATTGTAGGCCTGCGCGCTAGGGGTGACAGCCACGGCCACGACTACCACCACCACCGCAGCTTTTGACCTCTTCGAATTAAGATATAGGACTAGCGGCCTGCGGCCGCTAAGCTGGCCGTCTAATAGGTGGAAATTTGAACCGTCTATTGTGAGCATAATGTTTCCTTGACAATCCTCTCTTCACCTCATTCGGAACTGAACCGCTTCATTACATGTATACACACTTATAGTTTACAGTACATATCACGTCAGTTATGCTTGTTGCAAGTATGACCTTTCTAGATCTGCTATATCTGCTGATACATACATCACAATTACTCCCAGTGAATGAAATATCATAGGAACATGTTGATATTGCCTCCAGAGACCTCATCTTGGCCCTGCCTCCCAGTTAGACGCCGAACTTCGGACCAATAGGAAAGTGGCTTGAGGGGATTCGGCTAAAATAATAGAAAAAAAAGGATGAAAAGAAAAAATGCCCCAGAGGGAAATCGTCTCTGGGACAGAATGTCCCCGCAAACAAAAGTCGAATGTAACATTCGCCGAATATCCAAGAAGGCGCATGCGAAAAATGGCCGAGAATTCTTCGAATGCCAATATCTTGGAATTCACATGAAAAATTGGGAGGCCAACGAGTCGACTGATTGAAGACCTGAGGTTGATCTTTCAGCTTGTTCTCCAGCTCCTACTGATGGGGAGATAGTGTTCCAGACTGAGACCATGTTGAATTCTACTTCCCATACCACAGGGTGTGGCCAGGCGTATGAAAGTGTCCGGCCGTGTGGGGGAACGCGATGGTGTGCAGCATTTCCGCCTGTCATGCGGAATGTGCTCGATCGTGTCAAATCCACCGAGCCTCGGACAAATAATGCCTTTGAAGGATGGCATCACAGTTTTAATTCAATCATGGGAAAGTGCCATCCTGATGTGTTTTACCTCCTTCAAGCATTACAAAAGGAGCAGCCACCAGAAATGGGGCATCCATCGAAAAAATGGAGGAAGGAGGATGTCACCCGCGATGCACGACCGAAAGCAATACGCCATGATAACATCAATCGAAGTGCCTTGGAGCATCTACGAGCCACAGCACACAATCTAAACTTCTAAGTTGACGACTTGAGAGTGTACCTCGTGGATTCCATGACTTGAAAAAGATTGATTCGACCATTTCCGTTTCGACATTTTGTCGATCCTTTTCATTTGTAATGGATGGGAACGGCCTTTTTTTTTTAATAATGAAAGCCATTAAGGAAAACGCAAACGAGATGGAAATTTGCCTCAGTGCCCGGAAACCAGATTCCAAACATAACCTGGAATTTTCCCGAAAATGATAGGAAGGCTCGATTATTCGCTTTAGTCGGAGGGATCCATTCGAGGTTTCTTCATAATAGCAAGTTCACGTTAAAAATAGGAGACATGGTTTCCGCAATGAATCGGAATTCCCTACTCCGCGCATTAGACGGGAACTCTGTTTCCAATGCCTTACATGAAATTATCAAAATTGTTTACGGTGCTCGTGGAGTCGCTCGCCAACGTACTTGTCTTTGAAAGAATTTCCAAGGAAAATTAAGCTTTTTTGACTTTGATGAAGAATTTCGATACTATCAATGTCACTCTGCGATTTAGGTCTGGCTTTGGAAGGATTGCATAATACCCCTCATGGAAAGAATTTATTAGCGAAAATTCATGACGTTGATGAGGCGATAGCTTCTATAACCTACGGTTATCGATTCTGATGAGAGATCATACCTGAGATGGCTCCAGGCTCCAGTCTGGATATTCCGTTGTTCCGGAGGTCAACTAATTTCAAGGCGTTGCTGTGGAATTCCAGGAAACCGCTTGAAAGGGTGGGACCAAGGGTGGCTCCTTGACACAAAAACTTCTCCAGTTTCTTCATGCCTTTCACTATTGCAGATGGAAACTTCAATAAGGGATTGCTACCTGAATGGAAAGAAAAATCAGATTAGTGAGATCATTATGAAAAAAAAAATTTCGACTAAGGCGATGGAGACAGGGTTACCGTCTAATGTGCAGTGTAGGGAATTCCAATTTATAGCGGAAACCATCTCTCCTCCTTTTTAGCGTAAATATTCTGTTCTGAAAACGCCTCGGAATCCATTTCTCCAACAAAAGCGTGTGAGGTTCTTTCCTATCATTTTCCGAAAATTCCAATCCATGTCTGGAATCTGGTTTCCGTTTACATAAGTAAATTTCCAGCTCATTTGGGTTTTCCTTAACTGCCTTCATTATTTGAAAATGGTTCTTTTCCATTCGAAATATTGCATGACTAATAGGATTACATTATCATTACGCATCCTGCCCTTATTAATCCGGGAGTATTTGGTGCATCCCTATCACGGAGATGCCGTAAGTTCTATTACCTGACGTGACTATTCAGTGCCTTCTTTTAAATACTTTGGTAATAGTCTGCAGCCTATCCTCGTCTCTCTTATTTCTCAAAGAGAGAATATTAGGGGAGAAGGACCGATTCCTGCACCTTTTATATTGTTTAGCCCAAGAAGTGCGGGCCGCCGGTAGCCAGGAAATGTAGTGATATCGGTGAAGAACAGTTTCCATTGTTTCCGATCAGTGCCTCTCCCAACAGGAAGAAGAAGCTGTGATGCTCCTCATTTCCCGTGTATTCAAGAGGAAAATACACATAAAAATACCTTTCTTCTTGAGGATGAAATCTGTATCCGGAATCCGGAATTAGAAAGACGGTTCCTTAGTCATTATTTTTTTGTGAAAAAGAAGAAAAAAATTCGTAAATAGAAAGGAAGGGGGATTTCGAGGATATGCAGGAAAAATTTACCGTCCATTAGAGGGAATGCAGGTTTACGTGGTGTTAGTCTAAAGTTTTTAAACTGGAGACTGAAATTTTAGGATTTTTTTTTACAATGATGATGGAAAGAAGCAGGACCAGATTCGCATGTGCAGGGTGATGTAAATACTGATGTAAATAAATATACTTTTGCAAAGTCACATTATTTATTTTTTGTTTCATATTGATTCATTCTGTTTGGAATGAGAGACTGAAACAAAAATATGAAGAAACACATGAGTTAATTTGGCATTTTTGATCGTTATCTACTTGTTAGAATAAAAATTTACATTTTAAGCAATTTCTATTGGCCCTCCACTATAAAATTTAAATTGAGCAGTGTCTTTTTTAATGTATTTTTATATTCTATTGAAATAATTATTGTAAAATTTTTAAATGGGGGAATTTAAGATATATTCAAAATGGGGAAATTTTGGGGGTTCACCCTGGATTCTGTATGTCGCTTTCGCCTTTGTTTTTTTTTCTTGACCTCAAGGGCTTACGATCCAAAGTATGGATAGAGATATGTAGGAAACATAAGGGGGTAAAGGCGCTGACGTTCCTCTGACTGTAGTGATTACAGTATATTTCATAGGAAGGACCACCTCTTACAGTTCCATGAAGTGTCCACTGAATCAGTCCATTTCCTCATCCTCCCCTCAAGTTGAGAATATGGTAGACTTGAGTTCACTGACACACCCTATATGTTCTATACCTCCTCTGGAGATGATACTTCCGAATTGTAATTTGATTCACAAAAAGAATAAGTATTTGTTTATGGCCTGAACTCTTTGAATCTGTCTTGAATATGTGGAGAGCAAATGATGAAGCGACCGTGTTTATAAATTCCGATAAAGACGCTTGTCGAGACATATGGCGAGGTACTGAAAAATCATGCGAGGGACGATTCCAGGGAATAAAATAAGGGAACTTTCCTGTAATGTGCAAAATATGAAAATTCCTTACCTCCATCTAATGACGTGGCGAAGAAATACAAGGTGTTCAATTTGCAACCAGCGATGAGGGGGTATTTAGTAAGCAATAAGAAAATAGGGTTGAACTTGCTCACAAAGTGCTCATTTTCTACTCCCTAACCGTTGAGAATTTTCTGAGTTTACCATAGAAGTCGGTTTGACAAAATACAAAGTTTCAAGTGGAATCGCAAAACATAGTTAACTTCTAGGCGGACAAACATTCGGCTTGAGAAGCACAATATGAGGGAAAGGTTGCAGCAAGCATTTTGGATGCTGAAATATTGAAGCGACTACATTCGTGAAGGGATTTTCGGAAAAAAATCCGTTGCTAAATGTCACTTCTAGGCACAATATATCTAGAATGCAGTTTTGAAATAATTACAAGATATTGAGCATTCCAATAAGTAGGATCCATCAATGGTGATAAGGAAACAAAACCTGATATCTAATACTCACCAATGTCGAATACCGACAAATTGGGAGTTGCCCATCCGTCGAACTCCAAACTCGTGATCCGATTGTTTTGAAGACCGAGTATTTCTAGGCTATCGCTCTTGAAAGCCGTTACAGAGGTCAATGAATTGTTGGAGAGGTCGAGTAGTCTCAATCTGGGGGCCACCCATCCGTTGAACTCCACATTCACGATCAGATTATTTTGAAGACCGAGTATTTCTATACTGTCGCTCTTGAACGCTGTTACAGAAGTCAACAAATTGCTACCGAGGTCGAGTACCTTCAAATTGGGAGTCATACGTCCATCGAACTCCACACTCGTGATTTTATTGATGCGAAGAAAGAGTTCTTCTAGGGTGTCGCTCTTGAAGGCCGGTACAGAGGTCAACGAATTCACGGAGAGGTCAATTCTTTTCAATCTGGGAGTCGCCCATCCATCTAACTCCACACTCCTGATCATATTGGTGTGGAGACTGAGCACTTCTAGGCTGTTGCCACTGAAGGCCGGGAGAACGGTCAACGAATTGTTGTTGAGCCAGAGCTCTCTCAAATTGGGACTCACCCATTTGTTGAACTCCACGCTTGTGATCTGATTGTATTGAAGAACGAGTCTTTCCAGGCTGTCGCTCTTGAAGGCCGGTACAGAGGTCAACAAATTCTTGGAGAGACTGATATTCTTCAAATTGGGAGTCGTCCATTGATCGAACTCCACATTCCTGATCTTATTGCCATGAAGAAAGAGTATTTCTAGGCTGTCGCTTTTGAAGGCCGGTACAGAGGTCAACAAATTCTTGGAGAGGTCCAATCCTCTCAATCTGGGAGTTGCCCTTCCATCCAACTCGACGCTCGTGATCTGATTATTGTGGAGACCGAGCATTTCAATGCTGTCGCTCTTGAAGGCAGGGACAAAACTCAATAAATTGTCTTTGAGGAGGAGTTCCCTCAATTTGGGTGTCGTCCATCCATCGAACTCCACGCTTGTGATCTTATTGGCTTCAAGTATTAATTTTTGTAGGCTGTCACTCTTGAAGGCTGGTATAGACGTCAACAAATTGTTGGAGAGGTCTAGTTCTCTCAATCTGGGGGTCGCCCATCCATCCAACTCGACGCTCGTGATCTGATTCTTCTGTAGACCGAGTATTTGAAGATTGTCGCTCCTGAAGGCCGGGACAAAGGTCAACAAATTGTCACTGAGCCTGAGGTCCCATAATTTGGGAGTCGTCCATCCATCGAGCTCCGCTCTTGTGATCTTATTGGTATGAAGATTGAGTATTTCTAAGCTGTCGCTATTGAAGGCCGGTACAGAGGTCAAAAAATTGTTGCTGATAATGATGTGTCTCAAGCGGTTGAATTCGTGAAGATTAGGAAAGGGAAAATCTTCCAGCCGACTGTCAGAAATTTCGAAAGCTTCGAGATGAGATTGCAACGGTGATAAGGCTGATGGATGAATATTCCTTACTGCACTCCTAAGAATCTGTATTATTCGGAACGTAAGTTTCTGGAAGGTTTCTTCTTTAAGTTCCGATACTACTGCATTGTCTTGAATCAAGAAAAACCTGGAAGGTGAAAAAGTTTCATGTATATATACAGTATATCCCGTGTTGATCTTGTTAAAAAAACATATAGTTTGATAAATCATGCACCAGAGGATTTTGAGGGAGTGGAGCACATTGTGCCGGGCTGTTTAAGGCTCATTCAGTTTTGTTTCGCGTCACACACTAAAAAAAATTCCGACTGAGGCATCGGAAACAGGGCTTCCGACTAATGCGTGGAGAAGCGGATTTCGATTCATAGCGGAAATCACGTCTCTAATTTTTAACTCTTTAACTTAAAAACCTCGAAATTGAACTTTCCGACGAAAGCGGGTAATGGAACTTCCCTCTCTTTTTTGGGCAAATTTCCATCCATAGTCGGAATCGGGTTCGCGTTCACGAAAGAAATTTTCATCTCATTCAGATTTTCCTCAATTCCCCCTCATTATTCAAAAACTGCTCCTTCCCATTCGAAAAACTGCATAATTACTGGATCTTCATTATTATTACGAAACCTCCCGTTGTTAATCTATGAGTATTTGGTGCATCCCTATCATGGAAATATATTACTTTCTATTCACAAACGCTATTTTTCAGTACCTCCTTTTAGCCGCTTTCGAAGAGACTGTGACCCATTCTCACTCCTCTCTCTTCTCAAAGAGAGAGTGTTAGGGAAGAACGACCGACTCCTGAATCTTTTATACTTTGGTCCAGATCTTGCCGGCCGCCGGCAGCCAGGAAATGTACACTCAATGTCCACAAAATTAGAGATATACCTACATTCATCTTTCAATGCAGCTACAGCATAATCTAACCTAGGTTAGGTAGGTTAGGTTGTGACCTAAAGCAGGCAGCCCTGCATTAGTGTATTTTGACTGCAGAATGGGCAAATCAACAGACCTCAGCGACTTTGAACGTGGAACCGTCGTTGGTGCCAGACTAGCTGGTTTGAGCATCGCGGAAACCGTCAAACTGCTAGGCTTTTCAGGTGCTACAATTTCACGGGTATTCCGTGAATGGTGTGATGAGCGAAAAACAACAGCTACAAGGGCATCCTGTGGACAGCAGAGCCTCGTTGATGCTCGAGGTCAGAGAAGGCTGTCACGTATCGTTTTGGCCGACAGGCGGGCTTCAGTACGCCAAATCAGGGGCAAAATTCAACGCTGGTGTCCCGAAAAGCATATCCGTGCACACAACCCGTCGCACCTAAGCGCGGATGGGCTACAACAGCAGAAGACCAGTTCGGGTGCCAATGTTGTCGGACAAAAACAGGAAAGCGAGACTTCTCTGGGCAAAAGAGCATTGTCACTGGACCATTGCTGAGAGGAGAAAGGTTGCGTTGCCAGATGAATCCCGGTTCCAATTGCATTCCGCCGATGGGAGCATGCGAATCTGGCGCAGGAAACATGAATCCATGGACCCCTCCTGTTTGGTGTTAACATTACAGGCTGGTGGTGGCTCTGTGATGGTGTGGAGTGTGTTCTGTTGGGAAACCCTAGGTCCCCTCATACCCCTGGAAGGTCGTCAGGACAGTACGGCATACCTGAACATCGTTGCCGATCGGGTCCATCCCTTTATGACCACCGTTTTCCCTTTAGTAGATGGATACTTTCAGCAGGACGTTGCACCGTGCCACAAGGGCCGTATCGTCATGGATTGGTTCGAGGAACATGCCCTGGAGTTTACCTTGTTCCAGTGACCCGCACAGTCCCCTGATCCCAATCCAATAGAACATCTTTGGGATGAGGTGGTACGGGATGTACGGGGCTTGCCTGTACTGCCATCAAACAAGCGGCAACTGAGTGACGCTGTGATAGCAGCATGGGGCGGGATACCTGCAGAACGTTTCCAGCACCTCGTGGAATCCATGCCACGACGAATTGATGCTGTTTTGAGGGCCAAAGGCGGTCCAACACGCTACTAGTGAGGTATCTCTAATTTTGTGGACATTGAATATAGATCATGTCGGTGAAACAAGGCGTCCTGAGTTTCGGAGCAGTTACTCTCCCAACATGAAGAAGAAGCTGTGATGCTCTTCATCTCCCCTGTATCCAACAGGAAAATATACATTAAAATACATTTCTTTTTGAGAATGAGAGCTATACGTTTTTCGAAGCATCACGGTGTCATATTTAAGAGGATATCGGAGGTTAGCGGGAGTAATCTATCGTTAAGGTTGGAAAGTAAAGGTATCAGGCGGCTTCCTCGAGGTGGCAATACCGAAAAGTCCGAAAGATCACGAAGGATATTTCGGTGAATTTTCGAAACAGGTTTTCTGACGCGAACGAGGAAATAGGGTCGTTCGCTCGAACGTCGGGATTCGCATGTAGGTCCCTTAGACGTAATGTTTTGTGAAAGATGAAGGGGGAAATTCCGAAAAAGAAGGCGATGAGGGCTTACCGATGAAATGCGGGAAATATTTTCCGAGCATGAGGCGAAATCCAGTTTTACAGGTTCTTTGTCGGAATTTCTATGAAGAATAATCGGAAATTGCTGACTAAGAACATGTAAACTGGGATTTCCCTTCCTGCTTAAAAAATATTTCCCTCCTTTCTTCGGAAATCCCACTTCATCATCTTTCCGGACTTTTACTTTTTTATTCCCGAAATATTGCGTCTAAGGGACATACATTCGAAATCCGACGTTTAAGCGAAATATATTTTTCCTCATTCGCGTCGAAATTCTTGCTACGAATATTCTTGGAAAACCCTTCTCCTATCCTTCCGGCCTTCCCGACCTTCGGGAAGCCACCAACACTTTTTGTTTCCGAGCCGAATGGTAGATGCCTCCCACTAGCCTCCGATATCTCCTTAATGACGAGTTCGTGGTGCTTTGATAAGCGTATCGTTTTCATCGGCAAGAAGAATGGCAATTTCGTGCGTATTTCCACATCGGATACAGGGGAATACGAAGAACATCATACAGGTAGATCTCTTTCCCCATCAGGAAAAGAACTACTCTGAAACTTGGCACGCTCTGCTTTACCTTCATAATTTATATTTTGTGGTTGCTGGCGGCCTGCACCTCGCGAACGATGAAAGGATAGTTGCGTATAGTTGCGGCAATGTTGTCCCGACCCCCAAAGGGGCTCCTTACTGGATCGGCTTGGCTATATGTTATGGTTACTTCATGTAAGTGAGATCAATCTTAAAGCTCCCAATATTAACGTTTCACTCTCGCAGCCAAAAGGTATCTTCTCCGCGCGTTTATCGGAAACGGAAGAAAACCGTCCCTCAGACCCGTTTGAGCGTTTTACATCTCCATAGCGTGGTATTATTGCTCTACAATCAACGCGGAAAAGCCACTTCACGTGCATTGCAAGGACCATGTTCATGCAGCGACTGGAGCAAAAATAGCGCCCATGCACGTCAGCCAATCAGATGCGTCGAAAAGCCTAACCCCAGTTGGCCAGACTTTCTTTTCAGGGGCTCTAGTCCAAACAATTGGGAAGGTTATTCCAATAATATTTGAAACAGGCTAATCCGAGACTAATGAAGAAAAGGATCGCTCGCTTGAACTTCGGAATCCGATGTAGGTCTATTCGACGTAATATTTGTGAAAAAGAAAGGGAAATTTCCGCAAATAATAGGAAGTTGGATTTCGAGGACATATAGGAAAATTTATCCGTCCATTATAAGGAATGCAGGTTCACGTGGTCTTAGTCGGAAATTTTTACAATGGAGACCGGAAATTTCCGAAATATTTTTACAGTTCAGTGTTGATTCTAACTCGAATCGGATTCGGGATATCGGTATTACAATGCCTGCGCATATGAAGTACAATATCAACTTAGTCTAGTTTAGATGTTGAAAGCATTTCAATGGCTCATGCTGGGGTACGATGGGTCTCTCTATTTCGGTACATTGGATCATAACTCAGTCCGTGAAGTATTTTATGATAGTTGCCAATGCAGATGAAGACTTCCTTTACAGAGATTATTCGATCTAATACAACGCCCAAAGAAGCGGAAGACTCTGCAGGGTCACACCAGCAGATGTGATATTCTTCGACGTGAAAAGTAATTGTATATTATATTTCGATAAAACGTTCTTAATATTTCTAGATGACTTTGGTGGAGTGCATTAGTACTGAAGAGCTTCTCCTCTTGCTATGAGAAGACTTCCTTTTGAGAAGACTTTGAATCAACTGATGTTCATTTTAGCAATGAAAATGGGGATGGCGCATCGTACCCCGAACACTGACCCAAGGTGCCCCACCCTCCCCTACTAATATTAGGTTCGGTGGGATTGATTCCAATTCATTATAGAAATTCATCGCTCCAGTCAATGTCTTGATTTCCATCATGAGTTGGCAGAATAAGGTCTTAAGTATTCGAGTGCACAACTGATTCAGGTTCTGAATCATGAAACAAAAGTCTTCCATGACGTTTCCCTGCTACAAAAAAAAATATCAAACGGATTCGCATGCACAAGCATACCGGTATTCATCAATCCAAGTCCTTCTACCTAGCCAATGACCTAGAAAGGCCCAGGGCAAAGACCACGCGCCGCAACCAAAGGCAGCATGGCTGAAAATTTCCTCGATGCCATAGAGTCGAGGTGGACGTAGGCCTCAGCGTCCTTCTAAAGGTTACATATGGGCCTGCTGAAACAGTGCCATCAGGGCACGTACCTACAATGTCGAACTGTTATCTGTAGTTTTCAAGCCAACATATATATTACATTCTGCTTCCTTTGAAGAAGAGAGTGCATGGGAATGGTATCGGCCTAAGCGTGCATCCATGGGTTAGGTCTAGGCCTGTGAAATCAGCCCCCCTTGAAAATTGTCCCCAGGGCGTGTAACCCCACCCCTCACGAAGTCGGAGTTCCTCCTGAGTGAACTACCTAGCAGTTACACACACTTCCTTCAATGACATTGGAAGGAACGTGTGCATAAAAATGACGTAGGCCTAGGCTTACAAAGTCAGTCCTCCCCGAAATTTCCCCCCAGGGCATGTACCTCCAAAGTTGAATTTTTTCTGAACTCTCCATCCCAATAGCTACTTGTGTACGAAGTTTCATATTTCTTACTTCTCTAGAACATGGTTAGAATTAGCGTCAATCAGTCACTCAGTCACGATCGTCTATATACTGTACATTAGATACCTTATTATTTGTTTGAATCACACATATTTCTGATATGCGATATGATTATATCTCTGTGAAACGGGTATCCACTTATTGGCCACTCTTTGGAATCCTAACCTAATGGAACAAGTACTATGTTCAGGGTAGAGCTAGGGAGAGAACTGTCCTTCAGTGCAAGGGTGTTAATTGTTGAAGGGTAGAGGCAGTGGAGAAAACTGAAAGCAATTGGGAATATGAAATTTAATTTTACTCACCAGAGTTGAGAAGAAGGCAATGAGCTTTTCGCTAGTGCTGAGGAAATCTCAGCACTAGATCTGGCACGTGAACAATCCACTCTATAATCTCGTTGTAGATATGGACCGCACTTGCAGGGTGTGATGTCTTGTGTGGGGCAAGAGGACTGCGCCCTCATCCAATGCACAATATAGGCAAAGAAAAGGTAGAGGACAGTAAATAATGGATTCATTATAGGATTGCCTGTTGGAGTACTGCTAAAAGAAGCCCGTAGTGTTGGTTATCCTTCGTAGTCCGTCTTCACAGGTGATGGATGATGATCCGCATTTCTGCAGCAACTGTTTCTGTTGGAAAGGAAATATATATTTTATACATCCATAAACTAATGATAAAGGAACTGCGTATGAGTGAGCTTCACGTTATCTGATACCTATGTTACACTTATGTGATGCTTATGAGCTATATGATGAGATCCCCCTTTGTTTGGTCAACAGATGAGATATACTTAAATGCCATGTTCCAGTTTTCCATTTTTGTCTGATTTTCTGAAGGAAAAATATCTCAGGTGCCGTATATGTACATGGTGGCCCAAAAAAAAGAAAGCTCTTCAAGTGCCATTATAATTCATGAGTTTGGCATTTGTGAAACGAAAATGTAGGAGAAAAATATACACGATATGCCTTCATTACTTTCCACGGAATTTCGAAAAGTCCTCCATTCTGGTTTATGATGGCCTGGAATCGAATGCGCCATTGTCTGATTGCGCGATTCACCGGGTTGAAATAAATGCCTTGGCAAGAATGGACAACTACCTCTTTCAATTATTGAATATCCTGGATTTTTCTTGGTAGACATTTCTTTGTAATGCACCCTATTGAAAGTCAACAGGGTTGACAGAACTGTTGGGCGTCACATAATAGGCTCAGTGAAGTCCGGCACTTCATTTTGCGGGAAGGAGTTCAGAAGTGGTTGAAGTTGCTCAAACTTTATGTCCTTATTTTCTCACAACCTTGTTGACTTGACTTAATGGCAAAGTTGACTTTCAAATGGAAGAAGGACTCATGGCTGCCTTGCCACACTTTAGTTTCTATTCCATATCCATGTCCAAGGTAAACAAGCAGTGGCGTAATTTTCGGAGGGGCAGGGGGGGCAGACGTCCCTCCTAGGCACCCGTGGGACAGAGCCTAGCGCCCCCAAGGAGGAAATAACTTTCTTTTCTGATATGGCTCGGGTAGGGTTTGACGTCTACGCTCTGTTGTCCTGCCCCGTGACCTTTCAGCCAAAATACCCCACTGTGAACAAGTAAAACGTGACTGTAGGTCACATTAAACCGCCTTCATTCTCATGCTTAGTCTATCTACATGTAAGGAATGGGTATTGAAAAAACTTATCTCGACTTTCTTCCTCTCAAGTAACTTTCACTTTCTCATATATAGTGTTTTGCAACATGGAAAACTCATGTCTTTGTGTAGCTGAATATCTAAAGACTGAATAGCCCTCTTTTTCCTCACAAGAACGACCTTTCTTGTTTCATTCTTGATAACAGCAGTATACATGCATATGATTTGACTTTCCGAAAGAAATATATGTAAGTAACTGGAGGGAGAAGAAACCGGAACCTGCCATCCAAATTATTTACTTAACACTACTAAAAAAAATTGAAAAGGTTTCACCCGTATTTAGCCATTTTGTCGCAAAGCACTCCTGTTGTCGCAAGTGACAGCAATGTTCGAAAAGAAAAATTCTTATTGGGATCTTGTGTGGATGTAACGGCGAAGCCCCATGCCAGAGCAAGGGGGATTCCACCTTCCTTTCTTCGTCTCCGTTGCTGTACCTTTGTGGACACAAGATTAATCTTGGTTCCAAAATTGCTCACACCCAGGCATTTCATTTTACAACATGAATGGGAAGTCGTAAAGAAGGCACTGTCGTTGGGCGGTCTTGTTAAAGTCGATTTTAGAAGTCATGGTTATAGGCTTTGAACGACTAAGCAACTGCTGCGTAATCACGCCCACGCGCCCTTTGTATCCTGCTACTGTGGAAGGTTCGAGAAAGTTCCAGAAATTTTTTATATGGAAAATTCTCGAAACGGCCAGAACTTTCCGATCGACTCAATACTTCAGTACTTTTCTCGTTTTACAATTTTAGCTGAGCAATAAATTCCGAGATCTTATTTCCCCTAAAATATATGCCATAAGGACATGTACATCAAATTAAGAAATTTATTTGAATTCACTTTCCCCAGCATTACACAAGCCACAAGCCGCTCACAACCAAAAACGTTAGTTATATTAGTAACGAGGGAAGAACCACTGTACTAAATTTTAGCTTTCTATAATTACGCTTTTAGAAGAACCTTATGTAAAGTACATCCCTGTCGAAATACGTGCCATTAGGGAACGTAATCGAGATAAGAGGAATCAATTCTCCAATGATTTTTTTGTGTCTAATATCAGGTATCTTCATGATTCCCTTTTGTCAAAGAAAAAAATATGTATTGAAATACTTCCCTTCAATAATCTATCCAAAGGAAACAGACTTCAAAAGCAGGATTTTTCCCACCAGCAATCCTTATGGATTGCTGGGTAAAAAAATTCTGAGGTGCGGCGGTTTGAAAAAATCTAAGAAACTAAGCAAATAAGTAGATAATAAGATTATGATTATTTCTTACAATATCACACGCACAGATCTTTTGATCAAGCGTCCTACATCCTAATTTTCTTTCCGCGCCCTCTGCGGAAGGGGCAAACTTTTATGTTCAGATAGAAGGAGGATTTCTCACCTTGAAATGCCATACCTTTGTTTCAATTGGGTGTTCAAGGTGAACGAGTCATACGTGACTAGAGTGTGCATGAAGTCGTTTAAATTATAATTCATGGTCACTTGACCGGTGCTTTCGTCGCGGTCAAAATGGCCTTACGCAATTCTTCCTTGACAAAATCTCGCATGCATTTTTGATTGTTGCACTATTTTTCCGCAGACACAAGGGGGATATTACTCTCATCATTGTGAGGGCAAGAGCTGGGAGAAGATGCTTGCACAAGTCCACAAGTGCGCCTCCAGGTCATAAGCTTACGATAGGCACTTTACTCATGAAAATCCATTCATCATCCGTGGAGGAACTTCACAGAATGACAGATTGGTTTCTTACGCAAATAAGTATGGCCATCATAATTATCTGCATCGGCGAGCGCCGAAGGTGGGTATGTTAGTATCTTTTGCTAATATTTTATAAATAGTTACCTTTGATGAAGTTTGAGAGTTACTCCTCCTCTGGATTGATGAAATATAATCAAACTATTGGAGATAGTTGGGAAATATCCATGAATTAGCTTTCACGTCACAATTGCCACTGCAGGACGCAGCAAGAACCCTTGGAAACAATTTTCCACACAACAACTCGAGTTCCTCTCCCCGCGGGCTATGGGAACCGAGTCTCTTCTTCCATTCCTTTGCCCTGTCGCATCTGCTGTCCGTGTTCGTGACGTGAATGTCAAGTATGAGAAAAGTCTATACAGCCTAACCCTGACCCCTCCCCCGCATCCCCCTATTCAACTACCTCCATTACTTCCCATGGAAAACCATTGAAGGCACCGTCTCATCTCTCTACCGAATGCAAGTGCTCGGGAGAGGCAATTATTGCAAATTTACAAAGGTTACGCCGATGAACCCTGAAGAGATAAGGAATTTTTGTGCTCTCCGCAGTGAAAGATGAATGAAAAACGTTAATCCTTCCAGTGTCACGAAGGCAAGACATTTTGGAGATCCATTGCTATCAGCCCTCTTTACTGAGTCTGACGCGATTCATTTCCCACTGGAAAAACCCCCAACTGATATCGAAATGGCGAAATATGACAGAAAAACGGGTTTTTCCTCTTCGATGAGATTCCTCATGGAGCCATGAGTTCATCGTACTTCTAATCGTTCGTTCCTGATGTAAGACGAATCCATCCCGTCATCAGGCCATCGTGTACGCAGTTTAACATCGAACTCATCTGGGGATAATTCGCCAGTCCTACTTAGGAAGATATAAGTTCGGCCTCTACCGGAACTGATCTCTTCTGAATTATGCTTCTTGGATGATGTCACGGGCTTCTGGACAAAAAATCCGAGTCGTGACGTCAATCTCAATGTATATACGGCGCGTAGTTCCGAACTTGGTGTAAACCATCTTCTGTTCCATCGACGGAAAGAATCGTGAAATAACGAGACGCTGTCCACTGTAAGCAAGAATGGTTTGGTTTTTATCCCCTCAAAAGTTTTTCAGCTGAAATTCACATTTATCCTTTGTGGGTTACATATTCAGCCTTTTTTATAGGTTAAATTCAATATCCTTTTACAAAAGGGTGAATAGTACTGTGAGGTGGTCACTCTCTCCACTTTCGGAATGTTTTTGTGTTGACGTATGATTGTAGCCCCTGGGGGAGTGACCTCTGTGCAGCTCAGCCGTGGTTCACAATCCCCCAGTGGGCCTGGATTTCTTGGCCATATTTGGGAGTTCTTTTTGGGTGAATGTTTGTTTCCGGTTGTATGTCTTTGTGTCCTGCTCGGGTTGGCAACACTGTGGAGGTGGAAGGCGTGAAGGCAGACGCGCAAAATACGCCATTCCCGGCCACTTCCTTCCGGCATGTGCCTCACCTCGCAGTGTCTCTCACTAGTGTTGTTTACTGTAACCCAAGAGAGCAGTGTGTTGAGTCTTTGTGTGCTTGTGTACCTGTGTAGGCCTTGTATGTATGTAGGCCCAGGCCTAAGCTGGTAATGTGGGTTTCTCTCACATGTCCAACCTTCCGCCTAGCAGTGACCTTTTGATGGATGGCTGGTTGGAAAACATTTTTTCCGAACTCTGAAGGTTTGGTTTTGTTCTGACCGGCTTGTGTCGCACTGACTTGTTCCTGAGCCGCTTGTTCCTGACCGGTCTTCACCGGCTTATCTTCACCTGTTGGTGATGTCCAAATTAATGTGATAAATTTACTCTAAATAAATTTGTGTTTGTGGTGTGTGAGTGAGAATCCACTTGTTTTTGTTTGGAGCACTGTTTGTCACAGGGCAGAGAACCCATAAGCCCGCTACCTTTGGCTTCCTTAAACATTAAAATTCATCGACACTTGTGACAGTACACCGACCTGGATTAATATATAACCTTCCCATTATACATGTAATCATGAAGGCTTCTGTATGGGCTACTGTTAGTGAATACTCGCTTATTTTGTTCTATGATCCAGGAATCTGCCCCGAATATGAGAATAAATGCATGAGGAAGGGTCGGCCGCTTTTATTAGTACGTATCATGAGGCATGGCGAAATGCAGAACGAGGTGACAAAAAACAAATCTGTCATGGAGATTCCCAGAGAGGAATTGGATGGAAATTCCCCAAGAGGGAAGGGCTATTCTATGCCCTGTGGGAATGGTAGCACCATAATCCCATGTAGTGGTCTAAAAGGGAACTTTAGATTGCACAAATACCCCTTGCAAATAGTGTTTCACTCTCATCCATACCTTCTCTTCCGTTCAACCCTGAAAAGGTTTAAATCTGAACCGATTCCTAAGTTATATTTTTTACACGTAAAATCTCTTTGGAAATATGCAGCCTCAAAAGGGATTTATTTATTCCTCATCATGATGGTCTATTTGAACATTTTTCTTAGATCGTTGGTCTTATATGCAGGAACCTTTTTCATTCGTTAAAGATAGTCGTTCGAGGGTTTTACCAAGGTGAGAAACTGACTCATATTCAGGGTTGGTCATGAGTCCCATGTCTTTTGAAGCATGAGCATATATACGATCAAAGTCAGTCCACCAACCTGATACAAATGGTCCCACCTCCTGCATGCACTGCTTTCCTCGCTTTTAAAAGATTCTATCGCTTAAGACTATGGTAGACAGGCCGCTACTTCTTCAAAAATCCACGAGTCGACGGTGCGAGTGTAGAGAGAAAATTTTCGGTGACAGCGACGGAGACGAGGAAAAGGAGAGATGCAGACAGACGCCCGTGCCCGGAGTCATGATCCGCCGTGGCGCCTTGGCCTCGTTATGAGGGCCTTCATTAGCATGCGTCTTTCACTTGTCTGCGACGCGGACGATTCAGAGCCACTACCACGAGTCCGAGTCTCTCTTCCAAGCATCTCTTCTTCGATAAGAAAATTTATAAACCAGAACGACGTAAAGCTTACGTATTTGCTGCTTCTCCGATTTCAGTAGTTTTGTCGATGGGATTTCATGCAATACCTTATTTGATTTCACATGCATACCGTCATAACAAGGTGGACGTGTAACTCGTCTGGTTGAAAATGCAGAAGTGAAAAAGAAAAAAACTGTCGGAGAGCTTCTTCCTGTCTCCATTCACTCGACTATCCCTGCGGTAGGCCCAGGGACACCGCTGGATTGGATTGCGTATGACTGCGTGGTATGTAGTCTTTTATTCACACGCCACAGAAATTTGGAAAAAGTAAAAAAATTATTAATATCCAATCTTTCATATTTTTCACTATAACACACCTATAACATGTTTACTTCCACGCCGAAATTA